AAAGATGCTGTAAGAAATAGACAAACGAGAATTAGAACAAAGAAATCGTTCAAGCTTACCCCGATGCGACGTGTTTGTATTGGAGCGTCCGCCTGTTGATTTGTGTTGGATGAGCCGTCAGTACTATTTCGACTTCCTAAAGAACTCATTGACCGAGAAATAAGATTAGAATAAAAGGAAAAACAGGACATAGTCACCTGATTAGACACCGCATTGTATATATCATCTTGAGAAACTCCCGATTGGATGAGCCTTTTAAAAACATCGTCACACGACTTTGATGGATGGGATGCCATCCTATTCCTCCGGACGCTGCAAAGAACAAGGATCCCAAACAACAAATAAAAACATGTCATGGCATAGCAACACAAGAGAAAAAGAAGCATTTCCTACCGGTGATGCGTCTCGGCGATTCCCATGAGACTCAAGTGATGACTAAAGGCTCTTGCCAGCGGCACTGTTTCATCCACAGACATATTCAAGAGCTCCTTCTCGATTTGCTTCGAGAGCCACAGCGCGGCCTCCTCGACCCCAACAGTCCGCATGTTGCACACGCTCTACACAGAAAAATTTCGGCAAAATCCACGAAAATCCATCCAGATACCTGCGCTAGAAGCCGCACGCGCTCGACCTTCTCCATAAGCCGCGGCCCGACCTCGCGCTGGAGGCAATCGTTGAGCAGATTCCCCAGCAGATGACAATCGTCATCAAACGCCTGGAAAGAGATCTCCTCCGCAATGTCATCGGTCGCATCCGTCATGGCGCCGGCCGTGCTCCGCTCTAGATCGATCGATCGATCGATCACTGCGAAATATTTCTCCCTCCGCCAAGAACCCTAAACTTTGCCCTTACTTTTGCGTTTTCCCGCCGTTATGCTACAAAGAATATACCCCCCATGAGTTTCTTTTCGGGAATTTTAAACTTGGCGCATTTAGGGCAGAAACGGGGGAGCTTCGCTCGAGCGCTATGGCGCTATGGCGCACCGGGGGAGGAGCAATGGCGCTGCTTCCTCGCCTACGAACGCCCATGGGACAGGTGATTCTCGTCGGCGCGGTGTGCTTCTGCTGCCCGGGGATGTTCTCGGCGCTCACAGGGATGGGCGGCGGCGGCCAGGTCGATCCCCACGCCGCCAATCGAGCCCTCACGGCGCTCTACGCGGCATTCGCGATCTTCGGCCTCCTCGGCGGCGGATTCAACAATATTTTGGGGCCGAGGATCACTGTCCTGGTCGGCAGCGTCTTCTACGCGCTCTACGTCGCCTCCTTCCTGCGCTACAACCACAGCCACGACGAGAGGCTCGTCGTCCTCGCCGGGGGATTGCTAGGGTTTGGGGCCGGGCTTCTCTGGGCAGGGCAGGGATCCATCCTCATGTCCTATCCTCCGGAGCGAGACAAGGGCCTCTACATCTCCATTTTTTGGAGCGTTTTCAACATGGGTGGCGTGGTGGGCGGATTGATCCCATTCTTCCTCAACTTTAGCCGCGATCGAAGCTCCTCTCACTCCGTCAACGACACCACTTACATCGCATTCATCGTGGTGATGCTGTGTGGGAGCATTCTCTCGCTCAAGCTCGTCCAGCCGGATCAAGTGGCGCGCGAGGATGGAACCCAGGTGATCTCCGCGCTCCACACCGATGTTGCGACCGAGTGCTGGGAGATACTCAAGCTCTTTCGTGATCCGAGGATGCTAGCGTTCGTCCCGGCATGCATCGCCAGCAACTTCTTCTACACTTACCAGTTCAACAACGTGAATGGCTTGCTCTTCGACGTGAGAACTCGCGGCCTCAACAACGTTGTCTACTGGTCGGCACAGATGCTTGGCTCGGTTCTAGCAGGAAGAGTGCTCGACAAATCCAGCCCCAGCTCTCGATCGCGCGCTCACCTGGGAATTCTCCTCGTCGCGGCCGCCTCGACGCTCATCTGGGCTGCCGCGTTCGTCAACCAGACAAATTACTCTCGCCGTCGTCTTCCGCATGGAGTCCCGCTGGATTTCACCGATGGCTTCCAGTTCCTGGGCCCGTTCGTGCTCTACTCGTGCTTTGGCCTGCTCGACGCGATGTTCCAGACGCTGTGCTACTGGGTCATGGGGGAGATGAGTGGGGAGGTCCAGACTTTGAGCCGCTATGGAGGATTTTACAAGGGTCTCCAGAGCGCTGGAGCGGCGGTGGCTTGGCAGCTTGATGCGAGCGAGATGGCTTTGATGCCTCAGCTGTGCCTCAACTGGATTCTCATGTCACTCAGCTTTCCACTGCTGTGGATTATGGTGAGGGATTTTAAGGACGAGCGACATCACAGGAAGGAGGACAAGGAGCACCTCTTTTTGCTCGATAGCTCGAGCACCAATTCAGAGGATTGAGTAAGAAGATTAGACATGGGCCTCTAAAAAGAAGAGGCAGTATGATCTTTTCTTCCTGGTGTAGATTATTATGTAATGCTGGCCACAGCTTCAGCACTCTTCTTGGTGTTAGTTGTAATTTTTAATGCAGGCACAGCTTCAGTAAAGAATTTAAAATAAATCAGAAATGACCAATTGTAAAGTTTGTAAATATATATATGTATATACATATATTACCTTGGCTATATGGACTCATTTGGGACTGATCTTAATGTATACAGTATGTACATATATATTTGAATTAATGTCACCAGCCCTTCCCAATTAGCCACAGCCAGTCAAGGGTTACACCCGCAAAAATTCCTCCGAGTAGAAAAAACACAAGAATGTTTCCAATAGCATTTTGCTCCGGTCCCTGAAAAAAAAAACACAGAGAGAAAATTTAAAAGGAGCAAACTTAAGAGACGGAATCGCTACATACCTTGTAGCCTCTGGGGGCCTCAACAAGAACACAAACAGTGAGGTGTCCATTGGTGATTCCGAGAAGAATGCACAGCATGAGCATCCATCCTTGGTCACCATACTTGGCCGTGAGATAAAAGGCAGGTATAAAAGCAAACCTCGCCACCACGGCCGCCAAAATTCCCACTCTCGACTTGATCTTGATGGCTTTGATCAAAGGAAGATATCTTCCAACCAAGTCTCCCAAGTTATACATCGTAATTAGAACAACAACGTACCTGTAGATGTTTGTCGTGAAGTTCCACGAGAGATTGGAAAATCAAAGCAACCAGCTTACCATGATCCCAGGCTGTGTGATCCCGTATCCTCGGCTAGAAATCCCGGGAAGATCGATAGAGTTAAAACGTAAATGGCGAACAGATCAAATGCGTAGTCGACATTTTGTGAGAGAAGAGCGAGGCTAGAAAGCCTGGTGTTTCCTTTTTCGGAGTCCTGATGATTCAGAGAGATCTTATCAGTATCTAGCTTTGCGATTCAAACGAAAACGAACCCTTTCGAGATCATTGACGACGACTCCGGCTGCAGCAAGATCAGCGTTTACTGTGGTGGCACCTTCCAAAGCCGCAGTTTTCCGGTAGTGTTTGACCATGTCAAGCTTTGGGAAAACCACGGCGTAGAGGATCAAGCACAGGAGCTCGAAGAAAGCCGAGATGAAAAAGAAAGTCACTGGAAAAAGAAAAGAGATGGACCATCAGATGACACCGACTTTATATGAACTTACGAGCTCCTTTGCGAAGTCCAACTTTCGTGTCTGGAAACGAAGCTTTGGTGATCAATCGTAGGCCCGAAGTGGCAGCACCAGAAGCAGCGAGTCCTGCTGAGAATGACTGCAAGAAAATCACCAAGAAAACATTGCAAGGATGAGAAAAAATTCGAAGACATATGATTTTACCTGAAGGAAGTTTGGATGCATGTAAGATAAGTCTCCAACAATGCCACCTTGAACGAATGCATCGGCAAGGCCGAAGCAAGCGCTCAAGGCGCACACTCCAATGTAAGGTCCGATGCCTCCATGGCCGGAGGTTGCCAAGTCCAGCTTCACCACCGACACACCCACAAAATATCTCAGCACTGAATCATTGAAAGTCCATACATTTTCAACGAATCTTGAGTAGAAAAAACGCAAACCAGAGAAGACAAATCACAATGGTCGGTCACTTACAATAGGGACGAGCGTCGAGGATACGAAGAACACCGAAAAACCAAACAAGATCCTGAATCGCGTATCGACTTTAGCCTCGTAGTATGTGAGAATTCCCACTGTGATGACAGCAAAGGGCTGATAGACGAGCGTAAGAACACGCGAAGGATGATAGTCCTATAAGACAAAAGAGAGAAAAACTGAAGTTAGAGAGTCCAAGCTCCAAAAGGAGAGCTCCCACAAACCGGGAAGACGTGGGAGTAGTAATCCATGACTGTGAGCATACTGTTCCAAGTAAACAAAGATCCAAGTCCCAAAAGCCAGCACATAAGATACGCAGCACTCCTTCCCTGCGAGCAACATCGATTGAATCGAACAATTCCAGTCCAAGAACATCACGGCATTGTCTAAACTCTAGATCCAAAATCGCCGAGATACCTTCGTGGGTGGCTTGGCAGTGATCAAATCCATCTCCGCCGAGGAAGGCATGGCCCCCTTTTCTCGCCAAAGCCGCCCGCTCCCTCTTTCTCTCTCGCTCTCTTTCTCCCAGGAGAGGAGGCCTATTTCGTGCTACTGCTGTTTGCTTTTTACAGTACTCCTTTAAAAATAAGGATTTGTTTCTGGGAGAAAGCGTAGTCTATGTAGACGGGCGATTGTCAAATGTGTTTGCGGTCCCTGGTCTACGACTTTTCTAAAGTTTTTACGTCGAGAGAGAGAGAGAGACAGAGACAGAGAGAAAAAGAGCCCACATTCTTTCTTTTGTACACACAAAGTCTCGACTTTTGAAAGCCAGATCAAGTACTTGGCTGATTTTGACAACCCATTAACAGGAATAAAGCAGAAAAGTGAGATTCGCTCTTCTGTTCTTCTTTGCGTGTGCACTAAGAAATTAAGAAAATTAAATATCTACTTAGGGGAGGGTTAGGGCTCGCCCTGTTCTAGGGCACTTTTCCTTTAAAATAATGGAATCTATCTTTCTTTATATGACCTAAAATGAGCATTGCTTTGATCCAGTCTTGCAAATCCTTGCATGAGCTGAAACGCGTCCACGAGAATCTCATGGAACGGGAGATCGATCCCAAGGTGGCGAGCTTTTTGATCCAGGGCTACGCCAGATTGGGAAGCGTCGAAGATGCCAGGCGCGTTTTTGACAACATCGTTCCTTCGAGGAGAGATTCCTTTGCATGGGTGGTGATGATCTCCGCCTACGCACAACTCGGCGACACCACAAATGCCCGGTCCGTTTTCGATGAAATGCCGACCAAGGATCAAATCTCCGCCACTGCCATGCTCTCTGCATATGCCCGCGTTGGGAATCTCCGGGAATCTAAGAGAATATTCGCCAGGATGCCGACCTGGGACGTGCATTCCTGGACTGCAATGCTCTGTGCGCATACCAAAAAATCCCAAATCAAAGAGGCAAGAGAAATTTTCGATTCAATGCGAGAAAGGAATCTCGTAGCCTGGAACGCGATGCTCTCAGCATATGCCCTTTCACGGCATCTAGAGCAAGCTAAAGACCTCTTTAAGAGAATGCCCGAAAGAGATACTATTTCATTCACTGCTATGCTCACCGGATATGCCCTATCTGGTTATCCAAATTCAGCGCTTCAACTCTTTAAATCTATGGGTGAATGGAACCATGTCTCTTGGAATGCGCTTCTTTCGGCATTTGCCCATAACGGGCATTTGCAAGACGCTAAGCGCGTGTTCGATTCCATGCCCCTTCACGACCTCGTGGCGTGGAATACCCTAATCTCCGCATACTCCCACCAGGGCTTGATCGACGATGCCAGGGCGCTGTTCGATCGCATGCCGGAGAGGAATCAATCCTCCGCCACGCTCCTCGTCTCGATGCTCGCGCAAGCCGGCCAGATCGACGCCGCGCGCGAGGTTTTCGACAGCATCGCCCAGCCAGATCTCATTTCCAGGACGGCGATGGTGGCGGCCTACGGCCAGAGCGGCTGCCCGGCACAAGCCAGGGAGGAATTCGATCGAATGCGGCAGCGCAACATCGTCTCCTGGAACGCGCTCCTCACCGCGCTGGCGCTCAATGGCCTCGTCGAAGACGCGCGCCATGTCTTCTTCGCCAGGATGCCCGAGTGGAACCTCGTCTCGTGGTGCGTCATGGTGAGCGGCTACTCGGAGCTCGGGGATTTGGAGGGCGCCAGGGAGTTCTTCGATCTCATGCCCGAGCGAAGCCTCGCGTGCTGGAATGCGATGCTCTCGGGGTATGCCGCGGGGGGATTTCTCCGCGAGGCCGAGGGGATCTTTTGCAGGATGAAGGAGCTAGATCTTGTTTCGTGGACTTGCATGGTCTCTGCATATGCCCAACACGGGCATTTGCGAAAGGTGGCGGAGATCTTCGATACAATGCCGGAGAGAAATCTCGTTTCGTGGAACTCGCTCCTGTCATCCTTCGCACAGAATGGCGAGTTCGAGGAGGCCAAGCGAGTGTTCGATCGGATGAAAGAGTGGGATCAAGTCTCTCTAAACGCGATGCTATCCGCGTATGCCCAGCACGGGTATGTGGATCACGCGAAAGCTTTCTTCGATCGAATGGCGCACAGGAACACCGTCTCCTGGAACGCGATGCTCGCTGGCTACGCCCAAAACGGGCATCTTCACGAGGCCAAGGAGTGCTTCTACGCCATGGAAGCTCCGCGCGATCTCGCGTCATGGAATCATCTTCTTGCCGCTTACTCTCACTCGGGAAACCTCCACAAGGCCAGGGAGATCTTCGACACTCTCGAGCAGCAGAACATCCTCACCTGGAACTCGATGCTCGTCGCCCTCGCTGCGAATGGCGATCACTTTCACCTGGCGCTCGAGATGTTCCACACCATCTTCACGACCGATGCTCCGGACGGGATCTCTCTGACTTGTTTGCTGCTGGCATGCAGCCATCGCGGCCAGCTCCGCGCCGGATTCCGGTGCTTCCACACAATGGTGGCGGACTGCGGATTGAAACCCGAGAAGCAGCACTACTGCTGCATGGTGGGACTGCTGGGACGAGCGGGGCGACTGGATGATGCCGAGGAGCTCCTCGCAAGCATGCCCTTTGTTCCAGATTCTCTCGACGTGAATTCGCTCCTCGCGGCTTGCAGTGATCACAAAGATGCGAGGCGAGGTGCTCGAGCGACTCGGTCTTTGGGTGTTAACTTGAATTCCAAGCATGGATCGTCGTACGTACTGCTAAGCAACATGATACAGCTCCAAGGTTCTTCTCCCTCATTGATAAGAGTTGACGAAGCATAGAAAACTATACGCATTTGCCAACTTGCTTGTCCAAGAGCATCCATTAGTCAATTTTGTAATCGTTTCAAGCCGTCTTTCCGTGATTTTTCTAATGCTTTTCTCTGGATTCTTATACACAGATCATGGTGGTGCTGGTGGAAGTTTCAACACGGAGTATATAATTATATGATACATAATTTAGTATTTGGACCTGGATAGCGATAAAGAATCCTAAAGAGTTGGAAGCATGATGCAGGGGCGGTTTCCTAGTGCTGGAATATTTTTTAGTTATTTACTTTTATCTATTTTCTTTTGTTAAAGCCGCGAGCAGCAGCAGCCTGTGCACACGCAGGTGAGGACACACACATTGGGATTATAATATGTTTTTCTAAGTATAAAGTAGGGAAGGAAAGAAGAAATTTGTGTCTTTGCCGCATTGACAAATTTGACATTTGGATCCTCAGGTCAATCAATCAGTCACCTCTTTGCGTCTCTTTCTGCTTTGTTTTCTCCAGAGGGGAGTGGGCTTTGTTTAACTCTTTCTTTTGTTCAGGGATTGATGAATGAGATCAGCGATGATCCATCAAGCTAAATGTCAACAAATGCAATAATTGCAGGTTCATGATGTGGAGATCTTGTCTTGTGAGCTGCAGTTTTTTCTGACTAGGGCTCGAGGCAGGGGAGTTTAGTACCATGCAGAGACTTTATAGACGGTGATTGTGATGTCACACTACAAGCAGCATTTGGACGAGCAGGATTTATAGCAGAGATGGAGACCCTTGATTCCTGTCTGATAAAATCTCCCGCAAGTTGCAATAAACTGCAGAGTGGGTGGAGTCGGCATGGTCAATTTCTTCTGAACCTATTCTGTTTCAGCAACTTTCAATCTGTAGGACTAGTGGTTGCTGTTGCTCTTTTCTTTGCTAAGGCATGTGTAGAGCTGGGACCATCAGAACCTTGCTGTTTGTTTCTCGCTTTTGGGGCAAATGTGGTGCAAAGATTTAGTGTTCACCATTTGGTGGTCACTATCATGCAATCTTGAGATTACAAAATAGGTGCCCACTTCTCAAATGCTATGCTATCCTCTCTCACTTCTGAAATGCTATGCTATCCTCTCTCTCTCTCTCTCTCTCTCACTCACACACACACACACACACACACATTTATAAGATTAAATGGTTTTCAAAAAATTTTAGTGGGGTATGTGGTTGCTGACTTGATCACCACCTTGATTCTTGAATAGTCAGAGAGGGATATATTCCATTTATCATCACCACCAGCAAAGGACAATGCCCATAGAAAAATTCCCATGGTTTCTTTAGGGTTCTTCCTCTCCATCCCTCTCCAGAGGATCCTCTCTTCTCTTCCTTGCTTGGCGCTCTTGGCTTTCATGTGATGTTCTTGCTCGACCTCTTGTAGCGGCGCGGATTTTGGGGCGCCCTTGCTACATTCTTGATGCTGCTGCCGATCGAAATCGAATGATCCAGCAGGAGATCTTCGATCTGTCCATGGGTTTGGCCATGTCTTCGTCCCAGGCACCGCATTCCTCGTGCCTGGGGATGAGATTCCAGAGGCGATTGCACAGGCAAAAGCTCTACATCCGGAAGCGCGCCGGGCAGCTGTGGAGATTCGTCAAGAAGCTCCGCGTGAGATTGTTCCTAGGTCAGTCACTCTCGATCGATCGAAATATCTCTCGTCTCACCCTCTCGGATCGATTGATCCATCCATCGCAGGCGGCAGGGGCGGCAGGAATCGCGTGGTCGCATCCGAGCAGCACCAAGCCCCGGCGCCAGCGCCAGCGCCGGGAGGAGGAGAATGCAGCACGCCGTCGCGCAAGAATCCGCGCAACAAGATCAAGATCGTCAAGAAATCCACCTCCATTCTCTTCGAGGAGGTCCAAGCTCCAGCCGGCGAGTGGTCTCTCATCCCCGGCCTCCCACACGACGTCGCGCTCCAATGCCTGGCTAGGGTTCCTCGCGTGGAGCACTGCCTCCTCCGCGCGGTGTGTCGGTCCTGGCGATGGATCGTGGAGACGCCGGATTTCGTGGAGCAGCGCCGGCTCCTGGGATGCGCCGAGGATTGGCTCTATCTCCACGTTGGGACGTCCCCGCATCTGGACGAGCGCCGGGACCGCGATGGATCGTCCAAGAGGGGGAGTAGCAGCGGTGGCAAGTGGCAGCTAGTCGGGGGATTTAGCTTGTGGCACGCGCTGGATCCTTACAGATACAAATGGCACGCTCTTCCGCCAATTCCATACGATGAATCGGTGACGGGGGGCCAGGTCGTGCTGGGCGCTACCTCGGTGGTGATGAACGGGAATCTCTTCGTCATTGGAGGAGCTCCATTTGGAAAAGCTGCCATCAGGTACTCTACTCTACCTTGTTGTGTTCTTGGGAATTGGTTTGTTTTTCCGTATGTTCTTGGTGGTTCTCTTGTCAGTGCTTTGTGGTCGACTTGACGATTGTTTGTGTTTGAGAAACAATGCCCTTGGTGGTGTGCTTCTCTTGTCAGTACTTTGTGGTCGACTTGATGAGTGTTTGTGTTTGAGAAACAATGCTCTTGGAGGTGTGGTTCTCTTGTCAGTGCTTTGTGGTCGACTTGATGATTGTTTGTGTTTGAGAGACAATGATCTTGGTGGTTTTCCTTGTTCTATGTTTGTTTGGGTTGGATGATGATTGCTTGCACTGGCATTGTGCTTCTCGAATTATCACTTTGGTCGTCGTAAGCTACAGGAGGGTGTCCTTTTCTTCCCGTCCAGCATTGTTTCTCTATGACGCGTTTCAGTCTTTGTCATTGCGCGTTCTATCGTTGGTATCTTCCTCTCTTTGATGCATTATTTTCTTCTCTTCTTTTTTGGACTACACTCACTTGTGACCCTCAGGCTTTCTCTTTCGTTAGTCCCTGGCATCTTTGCTCCGCTTACTTTACGTGTTTGTCACTTCATGTTCGTGCTGTGGGAATTGAGAGCTAGCACCAAACTGACAATCTCACCTTTACCTCTTAGGGACGTCTGGGTTTACAACCCTCTACGAAACCGATGGAAGCGAGCGGCACAGATGATCACCCCCCGCTTCGCCTGCCTCGCAGCTACAATCAAAGGCAAGCTCTACGTCATCGGTGGCTCGGGAATCTGTCACCTCACAGGCTACTCCCTCCCGTGCCTCGAGGTCTACAATCCAAAGACGGATAGTTGGAGCTACAAAGCCAGTGCTCGGGGAATCGTCACGGCTCATCCATGCAGCCCGCTCAAGTACATCGCCGTAGTGGACGACAAGCTTTGCGTCATAGGACCACAAAACGTGACCGGAAGAATCAACGCAGGGATGTATGACCCCGAGTCGGACTCGTGGCTGGAGATCAAGCCGGGGCTCAGATCGGGGTGGGGGAAAGCAAGCACAGTCATGGATGGTTTGCTCTACACGCTCGACTTTGGGTGCTACCAGCAGTACGTTGCCGAGAAGGATAGCTGGCTGCCAGTCAAAGGGAAGAACGCGGACTCTTTGCTCGAGTGGGATCCCAGGCTGGTGTCCGCCATGGCTGGGAGTAACGGGAAGCTCTACATGGTTGGGACGATGGGGCCGGCCTTGATTGTGGTGATCGCGCCGGTTAGAGGCGGCAAGGTGAACCAGAATGTTTGCTGGCATACCATGAAGTTGCCGAATGGTGTGGACTTTCTGGGGGACTTGGGACATTGCTCTTGTCAAGTGATCACATTCTAAGGAGTGATCCACTCGCGATTTTATTGTGTAACAAGTAAATAAACGGAACAAATTGAGAAAAATCACTGTTCAAGCTAACATAACGTTGGTCAAACTTAATATAAAATCACTAGTTTTAGAAATACATTTTTAAAAATCATAAAATAATAATATTTTTTTGGTATTATTTCAACATATGAAATACTAATGTTTTAGAAAAAGTCATGCACCCCTTTTCAAAAATAATTTTTTTACTCCTTATTAATAATTATTTTTATAAAGAAAATATATTTTAAAGTGTAAATAAAAGTTTTATGATACAGTGAGGTCAAAGTCTTCCATAAATATTTTATTTTAAATATATATTTGTGAGAGCCAAGTGTACGGCTATGATGCTGTATACTAATATTATCATAGTGAGATTTTGGTAGCTGTCAGATTGGTTTCAATCTGGATCACTTGCTCCTGTATATAAACTAGGGTTTTTGGGTTAATTGATATGCACATTTCTATATTCTCTTTCCATATTCCATGCAGTCACATTGGTGGAGGTGAAAGGCATTCTTAATTGTCCCTGAGGAGTGTTTGAATTTAGGATTTTGGTTTAGATCTAGTTTTTGCATCGTCTAGATTTAACTTTTTTCCATTCCCTTTCTTTTGTTCTTCCCTTTCAGGATTTTGGTTTAGATTTAGCTTTTTTGCATTGTCTAAATCTCCCATTTCCTTCTTGCTTTTTGTCGTTTCTCTTCCTTCACTCTTTCTTCGTCTGTCTTTATGGCAGATCAGCAATTTCCTCCTTTGACTCTGGAGCAGTAGTTGGTACAATTGTTTGATGCTATGCACTTGCAATTGAACAACCAAACTCAGTTGATGGTGGCATTTACGGCACGTGGTACAACTCCTCCTGCTCTTGGTGCTAATCCTCGTCTTCGGCCAGAGTTCTTTTGCGGGAATCCTGGGGATAATATGTACCATTGGTTTGATCACTTCATGATGATTGCCACATAACATTCTTGGGATGATGCTCAACATTTGCATGAGTTTCCCACATGTTTCCAAGGGATGGCGTTACAATGGTATAATGGTCTGAGCACAGCCACTCATGAGGATTGGAGTGTTCTCCCGGATGTCTTCAAACGTGCCTTCGGAAATGCCGACGATTGTGATAATGCCTTCCAACAATTGCATCGTCTTCGCCAAGGGCCATCTGAGTCAGTGATGCAATTTGGTGTTCATATCCGAAGTCTTTTGCTTCGTGCGGAGCCAAATATGTCAGAGCGGATCAAGCTAGGAATGTTGTGGCCAGCACTTCGTTAAGATTTTGTCAGACTTATGCATGCACTTGCTCCTGCCAGCCTTGACAATGCTTTTTGCTTGGCATAACATTATGAGACGTCACCTCTTCCATTTCTCGCTGCACGTCCTTCAGCTCCACTTCCTTTGGGTGATAGTCCTGTTCTAATGGAGGTTGATGCTGCTGCTACTCACGTCCAAGGACAAAGTCGAGGACATGGTCGTGGCCGTGATGTTTGCTGTTGGGTGTGTGATGAAGTTGGTCATACTTATCGGCATTGTCGGCGGTTTCCGGATTGGCGACCTCCATTTCCTGGGTAGCGACCTTGGCGTCAGCAATGTCCCGTTGGTGCTGCTGCAGTGGATGGTTTGGACACTAAGATACATTCGGGAAACGAGGAGTCGCGCGAGTAATGGAGGGACCTTGCGTGAATAAATTAGTGACCCCTTCATCTTTCTTTCGGAAGTATCATCAAGGGGTTCACTCAACATCGGTTCATCCAGTGTTTACTTTCCAAGCTCGTTTTTTATAACAAGAGGTCTCCTATTATTCTCTCCATGTTGGTTGATACAAGTTCGAGTTTATCTTCTATTACTTGACCTATTGCCACACGTTACTGTTGACACTTGCGTCATGCGGTAGAACCAGTTTTCATTCTTTATGGCAACAGCCGTACACATGCATGTGCACGAGATGAGGTGGACCTGGTTGTGCATGTGGGCAATCTCGAGCTTGAGTTGTAGTTATTGCGCGTGGTGCCGAGTCAAGATTTTGACCTCATTTTTGGTATGGATTGGTTGCAGCAATCATGCCAAGTGTGATTTTGAGGCTTCTCCCCCTTGTCTCATACTTTCTTATGTTTCATTCATTCCTCTCACTTCTGTACCTCTTTGTCCCTATACTTCTACCTCTGCTTCCATTACTTTTGTTCCCCCACTATTTCCTCCTATATTTCCATCTTGTTTTGCTCTTCCTTTTTTCGATCCCTTCGACGATCTTTGTGTTGTAACGGTGGACCGGCTCATGAAGTAGTATTTTGATCTCTTTGAATTTGACCTCTCATCTGGGGCCAAGATTGCCACACATCATCCAATTCCAACTGGGGATGCTCGTCCAATCAAGGTTCCCGTTTGTTATCAGTCACCCAAGGAGATCTGGATTTTATGTGCAAATGTCAAGGAGATGTTGGAGAAGGGTGTTATTCAGAAGTCGCGGAGTCCTTGGGCATGTGAACCTCATCTTGTAATGAAGTTTAATGGGAGTATTCGTTTTTACATTGACTATCGTCCGTTAAATGAAGTAACAATCTCAAATGTGTGCCCTCTTCCTCACACTACTGATCTCTTGGATTGTCTGGGGCGAAGTCATTAGTTCACCAAACTAGATCTTGCTTCTGGGTACTGGCAAGTACCGATGGCCGAAAAAGATATTCCTAAGACTGTTTTTTGTACACCATTTGGTTTGTATGAGTTCTTGGTGATGCCGTTTGGTTTGAACAATGCTCCAACAACTTTTCAGCGGATGATGGACGAGGTTCTTTGCGATATGCCAGAAGTGACTATTGACTTCATTGATGATATCTTGATCCACTCAAAGGGGACGTGGGAGGAGCACGTTCGTGATGTTTATAAAGTGTTGGATCGGTTACACGACGTTGGTTTAAAGCTGAAGTGGTCGAAGTGCGTGTTTGGGTCCAAAAACACAACTTATCTTGGGTACCGTATTTTTCGTGAGGGTTTGCAAGTTGATCTTGACAAACTTGTGGCTGTTCTAAAGTTTCCTACTCTGAAGTGTGTGAATGATGTGTAGCGCTTCTTGGGTAAGGTGCAGTATCTTGGTTGTTTTGTGAATCATTTTTTTGATCGCACTGCACCGTTGTGAGCGTTGCTAAAGTCATCAACATCATCTTTCATTTGGTCTCCGGATTGTGAGTGGGTGTTCGGGGATCTCAAAGTGCTGTTGACAACTCCTCCGGTTTTAGCATATCCTGACTACATTCAACTTTTTATTTTGCGCGTGGATGCTTTTGACATTAGTCTTGGAGGTGTGTTGATGCAAAAGAGCTTGAGTGTGCCTAGTCAGCGCCATCCTATTGCGTATATAAGCCGTACATTACAACCAGCGGAAATGAACTACTCCACGACAGAGAAGGAGTGTTTAGCAACAATTTGGGGTTTCAAGAAACTTCATGCATATCTACATGGCTTTTGGACATTACTTGAAGGTGATCATGCTGTTGTTACTTCATTATTAAAGCGGAAGGACTTGGTTGGTCGTACTGCTCGATGGGCTTTGAAGCTTCAGATACATGATTTTGACGTTGTTCATCGCTTAGGGAGTTCTATGGCTGATGTTGATGGCCTTTCTCGAGCTCCTCTTCCTTTTCCATTCTCTTCTCATGTTTTTTATGAGCTTGTTGTTCCAACCTCTGTGGATTTTCTAGACAATGATTCTATGCCGTTGGCGATTGCTGTACTTGACGTTTAGTGTCCACAAGGCACAGAGCAAGATCTACCTTCTCTTGATGAGGTTCGCGAGGCTCAAAAGATTGAGCCGTGGATTCGAAGGCTTCGAAATGGGTTTGAGAATCTTGCATCACTTGCTGATGACTTCAGATATATGATTATCCGGTATGTGCGTAGCTACGTTTGGTGCCAAGCTTGTAATACTCCCCCTCAGGCTGCGGAAGGACAATTGGAGTCAATTGCAATTTCCTGTCCATTTGAGTTGGTGGCGTTTGAACTTATGGGAGCTTTTCCACAGTCAACTACTAGCAATGAGTATGTTATTATTGCTTCTGACTACTTGACTCGTTGGGTGGAAGTTGGTGCTCTTGCTAGCACCTTTACAACTGCTATTGAATACTTCCTCCTCAATCCAGTGGTGTTCCAGCATTCTTGTCAAGAGTGGATTCTTTCGGATAATAGTCCTGCATTTATGGCTGAGGCATTTCATGTCTTGACGTATCAATTAAGGATATGCCACACTTTCATGAGTGCTTATCATCCACAATCAGACGGTCTGGTGGAATAGCTTGTTCGGACATTCAAAGGGATGATTGTGAAGTATGTGAACTTTCAGTATTCGGATTAGGATTGTTATTTGCCGTCCCTTCGGTATGCATATGTCACAGGGGTGCAGAGTTCTGTTGATGCTTCACCATATAAACTCCTATATGGTCATGATCGAATATTACCAATGGAGTTGGGTTTACCTTTGCGATTGCCACGAACTGCGGATGCTAGGTCATGGGATTAGTATTTAATGAGCATTCTTCCACTTGTCCGAGCGAAGTCTGCTAAACACTTAGGCCGCATACAAGTGGGACAACAACGGCGGTATAACTCCCATCATCGTCCACTTGCAGAGTACAAAGTGAACGATTTGGTGTTAGTATGTTTTCCCCATCTTATGGTATGTGGTTTATCTAAAGGGCTCCTTGCACAGTGGAAAGGACTGTATCGGGTGTTGCGGCAAGTTGGACCACAAGTTTATAAGGTTCGGCATGACGTCCAACAGGCCGATCCTCCAAGAGATTGTGCATGTGCAACAATTGAAACGCTTCATACAAAAGGATCAGGAGCAATTAATACCATCTACAGATCCGCTGATGCTTTCTCCTGACGTTCCTCTAGATCCCAGCCCGTCTACAAGAGAATTCTGATGGTCTTCCATTGTTCCGGGAGGAGGGGATGATGTGAGGGCCAAGTGTACAGCTACGATACTGTATACTAATATTAGTGTAGTGGGATTTTGGTAGCTGTCGGATTGGTTTCACAATCCGGACCACCTGCTCCTGTATATAAGCTAGGGTTTTTGGGTTAATTGATATGTATATTTCTGTATTCT